AAAACCCACTATCATGGGCCCCCCTTTTTGTTTTTTTTTGTTTCGTGTCCCCCCCGCAGAAAATTTTTTTTTTTTTTTTTTTTTGGGCAAACGTTCATACACCGACAGTAATTCCAAGGCACCCTTAAGCAAAGAGACCACGTGACCACGGGGCGGTCGAACTACAAGCCATTTTGGGGACTGTGTCAGTTTCCACGGAGCACACGCACATACACACACACGGAGAGAGAGAGAGAGGGAGAGAGAGAGAGAGAGAGAGAGCTGCGTTTCAGCTCTAGAGGCGAAGCGGATATTTTGGAGGCAAAGTTATCGGTGCTGAAGTGGACGGCTGTCGGAACCGAAGCGGCGGGATTTGGATCCGTTGGATCGGGATACGCACGGCGCAGGAGGCAACGAGGAGTTTTGTTCCCCCCCCTCCGCCCCCCCTTCCTCTTCTCGCCTTGGCGCATCTGAAATGCGCTGCGCTCCGCCGTGCGCTCTCTGCCACTGACAGCGTCTGCAGCTCTGCTTCAAGATGGCGGCTCGGCTTCTATTCATTTTCTGCTGATCTGCCTCCCAACTTTCATTGTCTCCGCCACGTCGAGAGCCGCCGATCGCCAGCCGAGCCTGCAGGTTTGTCCCCTTCCGTCTCGTCTCTAGCTAGCAGCGGTGAAAGGTGACGATTAGGCGGTGTGCTTTTGTGTTTTTCTACCTTCTCTCTGTGTGTGTGTGTGTGTGTGTGTGTGTGTGTGTGTGTGTGTGTGTCTGTCTCTCTCCCTCCGCGCTGATCCGATCCAGCGGTGGATGTGGAGCTCTATCACCGACGTGGAGCTCAGTGGGTCTCATGCGCACTACTTTTCTTCCCCCCTCCGTCTTCCTGCAAAAACAGATCAGTTCTCTGTCATAAAAGCCAATTATTGCGGACTCTCGCTGGCGGACGCGTGGTACAGAGCTCGGTTAACTGGCTCTAAAGGCTGGTCTCGGTTAAGGTTTGCTTTGCGTCGTTTGGATTTATGTAAAGTGGGAGAGCCGAAGCGAACCAAGCTGGGTCGGCTGAGATGGCAGTGCCAGCAAGTGCTTCAAACGCTCCGTGTGGGCTCGGATTTCCACACAGGGGCTTCATTTTATAGAGGTGGGATGGTGGAAGGGTCCCGAACCGGGTCCCGTTCGACATTTGTGTGAATTCGACCCGGTTTCGGATTTTTGAACTTAACACGGATGGCTACCGGAAACGTGCCGTGGAGGTGAAGCGTTTCATTTGTGTCTTAATTATTTCATTAGCGGTGATCGATAGATGGTTGATTGTTGGAAAATAAGAAAGCGTGCGTGTTTTTCAACTGTTGTGTGGCGGTTTTGTTTGGATTGGATGGTTAAAGTTTGAGTAAATTAAAGCAAAAAAACGCAGAGCGAGACGTCGGGGTGGATTACAAAGAGGTGGCTGAGTCCTCCAAAGCAGTCAAAGCGTCTATTAAATTTACACGAACTGTAGCCAGAACAGGATGTTTGTTTTATGTTATTGACGTGCAATATTTTCAGCTTTCATCCAGCTTCATTGCATGTCCACGGTGTGTCTTATACAGTAGGCTATGCTGACAAGTCTCCTCTATCACGCGGAGGAAAAAATGACCAGTGTTCATTAAGAAAGCTTTAATGAGAAAGGGAGGGAAAAAAAAAACTAGAATATTTTTTTCATTGTTGGTTGTTTCAGGTTAACATCCTTGGTATACATCATGAAGTTTTGTTCAAATGAACTGAAGCTCCAATAAGTTGCCATTTAGTTTTATTTTTTGTATACTCCACTTTGTACATCCAGTCACAGCGGCGGACACAAGCTTTAGTTTTTCCTGCTGTTTTTGTTCATTTCATTGGGTTCCAATTATTATTTCAAAGTACTGTTGAGCTGTGACAGGCAACGGTGCCGTTTGAGGACAAACGAGCAGCATCTCTTTGGGTCAAATCTTTTGGAAATCTAGACTTGTGCGTATTTTTTTTTAAGACTTATTCTCCATAAACTGCTGCGTTGAGTAAATTAATTTGAGTCGGAACGGTGGATACAGTTGGGAGCTAATCTTCCTACTTATCCTCTGTGAGTGGAACCATTTATTCAGAAATAAACTTTATTTATTTATTTATTTTTTTGGGGGGGGGATCGACTCGAAGTCATGTCATAAACGGGAGCAAACAGCCCCGCTCCCACAGGACAGAGAAGGGAGAACAGTTGTCCAAACACCAGGCGATCGATTAATGGCGCAACAGGCTCCTCCTTGCATATATGCGGACATTATCCATCATTGTGCGGGTCTGTGGCATCCATTGGAGCCGAGATGCTGTCCAAACTTGCCCTGTCAGGGGTCTGGTGAGCCTCAGAAACGGTTTGAGAGAAGTCTGACGCGCAGCCTGGCATCCTGGTGCTGATGGTGGGCAAGACTGGCTCAGTCAAATCCAGTATTTTTTTATTTATGTATTATTTTATTATATTTATTTTATTTTATTTTTCAGAAAACTATGACCTCTGTTGACTTTGCATACACTTAGTGACAACTTTTATTTCTGGGGGGGAGGGGGGGAGAGCTAACTGAGGAGTTCATGTCGACATTTAGTTTACATTTGTGTTGTTTTGCCTCCAATCCAGCATAAAGTCTTAAAGTGTAAACAGTATAAAAACAGAGCTGGCTCCATGTATAAGCAAACTAAGCTGCTGGTTAGAGCTCAGGAGGGTATGTATGTCATAACTTGTTTACAGTTTGTAGTGGATCAAGAATGAGCCGACTTATAAATGCCCTGGATTATTTCAAAAAGCCTATTTAAAAAGAACTTAAAATGGCTGAATCTGAATTATAGTAATGCATATCTGCTTAAGATTTCATTTGTTATGGTTGTAGAGTCATTTATTTTTTGCTGTCACTTTAACTGGTTCTATTTTTGCTGTCTGTGCTGGGATCACACTTCATACTCTAAATATTTGCAAGTGAATAGAAACAAGTTTAATGTAATTTTCCTCTTTGTGCCTCTAAGTACGGCTGATTAAATTTGACACATCCATCCCAACACCAAGTCTGTATTGAAACATTGTGACTTTTTTTTTTTACCTCATCTCCACAATTTACAGCTTTTACCTAACAAACTACGTTATCCCAAGTATTTTTGTATGAAATAAAAGAAGCAAACTGACGCAAACAGTCAATTAAGGAGATTCACTGTTGGGTGCAGTTATATGCACAATGAGTAAACAAAAAACAAAAAAAAGGTGGTGCTGTGGTGGCTATGTTGCCCCCCAAATCAAATTCTTCTAAAGACTGAATTGGACCTTGGGTCGGCACTGCCGATGAGCTTTACCCACAAGTAACTTCTGTGAAGTTACTTGTTTATAAAACAAATATGCGCTGAAAGGTAATGGCCAGGCTGTGTGAGAGGCTGAGGCTGGTTCTGACGCAGAACAAATGCAGCCTGTGTTCCAGTTTGCGGGTTTAACTTCGGCGCAGCCTCTGCTGTCTGGCCATGTTGCTGCTGCTGCTGCTGCTGCACCGTGCTTATTATCGCACACACGCCATGAAGCTAAGCACTGCTGCTCGAAGCGAAGCCGTTCTCCGACTGGGACACCGTAGCCTATAGCTCTTTATAGCCCAAAAGCTTCGGGTTTATCCGGGGCTTCAATGCGCCCCCTCTCTCTCGTAGGAAACCCCGCAGCCCCGCCGAACCGATATGAGCTTCTCTTTTTTTCCCCCCCTCTACAAAATGGCAGCCGTGCTGTCGGCAGCCTGGCAGTCCAGCGGCGGAGGGGACGGAGAGAGACTCTCGGTCCCTCCTTCCTTCTCCTTCCCGCTCAGCTTCACCGGCAGCTCGCCGACTTTTTGTTTTGGTTCGACATCCTGCGTCGTTCTGGTCACTGGCGAGCCGCCACGCGAGCTCAAAGCAATGGGAGTTGCCATAGAAACGGTCAGGTTTCGCCCCCCTTTACCCTCGCACCCGTTCGCCGCCTGTGTGGCACACCTGACGCAACTAGCGGGAGCCTGGAATCATCGCTCCCCGGTTAACCCTCGCTCGGGCTGAGAATCCACATTTTCTCAGCAAAACTATATATATTTCTATATGTTAAGCGGCATTTAAGGCTTTGTTGCTGGATTGGTGCGATTTATTATCGGTGACAAACACTCACTAGGTGTAACTTCTTCTCCAGCTGTTTGACAATTTACAGCAAATTTTGACACAACAAATCGCATAAAAACACACACACACACACACACATCTAGATTTGGTAAAAGCTGACAGGTTGACGAGTCATTTTTTTTTTTTTTTTCAAAATTTTAATCACCTCGACATTTGGATCCTGCCTGCCCCGTTGTTTCGTTGTCATGCCTGCTTTAGATGACGGTCATATAAAGTGGCATCGATTTCCCCATGATCTGATTGATTTATGATATTTTACTGCCTCCTCGCTGACTGAATGCCATGTCACTTGCCCATCAATCTGCCACAGAAGGAAAAAAAAACCCTCTCCTTGGTTGGTTATTTTTTAATTAGCATAAAAGATGGTGTTGATTTAACACAGTCAAGCAAACATCTTTTCCCATGCAAATGGTGCTCTGGACCATCAAGACTTTGGAGGATGAATCACTCAATTAAAACATACTTTGGGGTTTTGGTTTGAATATCATAATGGAAAGGCTATACAGTGAAGTGACTCTTGAAAATATTTTTTTTAAAAGTCTTTCTAAAATTGTAGTTAACAATAATGGTCATTGTTCCTCAAATGGTCAACATTTCTACTCGAATAGCATTTGCAGCAGCCATCCTGACACACTCCCTCTTTTCTTTCCTTCCCATGCAGGATTTTTCTTTTTCTTTCTATCTTTTTTTTTGTTTTTGTTTTTTTGTTTTGTAAAGTTCTACCAACATGCATCGGACCACCAGGATAAAGATCACCGAGCTCAACCCTCACCTCATATGCGTCCTCTGTGGAGGATACTTCATAGACGCAACCACCATCATCGAATGCCTCCACTCTTGTAAGCACTGTTTGTCCCTCAGCCCAGATTTAGCACCCTCATTTTTTTTCTGACTGATATTTTCTCTGTTGCAGTCTGCAAAATGTGCATTGTGCGCTACCTGGAAACGAGCAAATATTGTCCCATCTGTGATGTACAAGTGCATAAAACAAAACCCCTGCTCAACATTAGGTGAGACAGAATTGTGTTGAAGTAGCTTTCCTTGACACGTTTTGCCCCTGGGTGTGTCTTTTTGCTATTAATCGCAGATGAAAAGTGCTATTATGTTTTGCAACTCTTCCTTTTTGACTTGCCCTTTGTGCGGATGAATCAGCCATTCATTGTCATATGTATAAAGGCTGTAATTTGTCTGCTCATTCAACGCATTCAACCTGCTGTGTCAGTAGTTTGTGTTTGAACATGACAGGAGTTTCTCCAATCTCTCTGCAGATCTGACAAAACTCTGCAGGACATTGTGTACAAACTGGTTCCAGGCCTCTTCAAAAGTAAGAATATTCGAATCTCTTCACTGTGCAAAACAAATCTACAGAAGTGGGAGCTTGTGAACGCTCTAGAGTAATGAGTCCTACAAATATCAACATTTAGGCAGTATTCATACTCCGGTGTAGATCACTTTTCGTAAGGCTGTGAAGTTTTTAAATGCCACATTTTGAGATTTCAAAGTCAAGAAGCGATTAGAAGCTGTTCCGATTTCAGTGCTGTGGTGAAATGAGAAATTATGGACACTGTTGGCTCTGATGTCTTGCAAAGTGCTATTGGTAAAGAAAACTCAACCAATACGTGTCCAACTTGTTTGAATTGTGATGTTTTTGCACTTTAAAAACAAAAAAAGAAAAAAAAAGATTTTTTTTAAACCCCTTCAGATTTGTTGCCATCTTTCCATAATGTTGACAAATGTTACAAAAGACCCAAATTATTTCCACAAGTCATCCCATTTTGCTGTGTTTAATGGTGAAATTGTTGCTTGTAACTCACCCTGGTAGCATTTCCTCTCTTTAAGAGTCTGTGAGAAGTACAGCTGTACTGACTTGTCTTCCTGAATTTGTGCAGATGAAATGAAAAGAAGGAGAGACTTTTATGCAGAGCATCCTGTAGATGGTGAGTCAAAGATCCAGCCTTTTTATATAAAGTGTGAATGGTCCTCCTTATTTTTCCTCTGTAACCTGTACATTTTCTTTGTCTATAAAAGCTTCCAATGGTTCACATGAGGATCGTGGAGAGGTGGCGGACGAGGATAAGAGAATTATCACAGATGACGAGATCATCAGCCTCTCCATCGAGTTCTTTGATCAGACCAGGTGAGCTTTTGTTCTGAAAGTACATGAAGACATAATTAAAGCTATTTAACATTTAGTTCATTTGCAGGTTATTATCTTTCTCTGTTAAATTGCTCCAAAATGTTACTTTTACGTTGGTAATTTATCATTTGTGGTGTCTGGAAAAAAAAAAAAAAAATCTGTTTGGATTTTATTATATTCGAGTATTTAACATATACTTGCATACATAGTGGTATTTGTTTAAAATGTAAAAGATTTGTAATTTACAAATATCACTTATTATAATACCTAGTGGATTTTGTCCAATGTGTCATTTGTAAAGAGTCCTTTTTGGTTACCATGGGAAATTACATAAAAATTAATGCAAAATCATGACTATTGCTTTTTTTTATTTTTATTTTTTACATTTTTGAAATCAAAAAAGAAAATCATACTTGCTGAGAATAAAATGGTAAAAACTCTGATTCTGAGAAGCATTGTATGTTGACTAGTTTAGCTTCAACAAGAATGTAATGGAAGTGTGTTTGTGTGTGTGTGTGTGTTTATTTTTAGACTTGTAGGAGGGGTGGAAGACAAGCAAACAAAAGATCAGGTATGCATCACTGATTTAACAACCTCTCTTCACAGAATATCCAAAATAATAATAATAATAATAATAATAATAATAATAATAATAAAAACACTACCTGTTAAAAAGAGCAGCCATGTTGTTCCTGCAATGCAAATATTTGCTGTTTTTAAGGTGGACCAACCAAATGGCTACCTTCTTATATATATTTTTTCCAATTCTTTTAGCACAAGATGCAAAATAACTCTTTATATATGGATATCTGCAGGTGGCTAACAAGAGGTACTTGCAGTGTCCAGCCGCCATGACAGTCATGCATCTGAGGAAGTTTTTGCGCAGCAAGATGGACATCCCAAACACATATCAGGTCTTTTATATTGTGTATTTTTCTTATTTAAGCTGATACTTTCATATAAATACAAATTGCAAAATCTTTATTTTTTTTGTTTTGTTTTTTTTGCATTAAATTTGTTTGCATTCATTTTGTGTGACCAGGTTGAAGTCATGTATGAAGACGAGCCTCTCAAAGATTACTACACATTAATGGATATAGCTTATATCTACACTTGGAGAAGGGTAAGTGGTGTCCTTGGACGTGTTGTCGACATGCTTATTAAAGTGTTAGTCCTAAAATATACAGGCAGTTATATCATATTGACAGTTAAATTTCTGTCCATTTTTAAGGAAATTTAGGCATAATCCAATCCAATGGAATATGCCCAATCCTGTTATTCTAACACATTTTTATAGATATAATTAACTGCAAACAAACAATTAACTATTCCCCCTTTTTATGGCCAAGGTTTTATCGGAGAAGATGTAAAGTATGAATCTGGTTGTGACATTATTTTAATTTATTAATATTTTGACTAGAAGCTATGGTGCTAATGATTAGGCTCACTCTGGAAAAAAAATGCTTTCCAACCCCCTGATGAAATTTAGAAATGCTTGGAAAAGTGTCCAGATTTCCCCCCCCCCCCATTAACTAAAATATATCAAATTGAAATGTCTGGGAAATAAAGGGTTTGTTGATGTTGATTTTGCTTTAGATACTATCTATTTTGGGTTTTACAACCTAAATTCTAACTTATTTGTCATTTTAGTTTTTGAGTTATTGCTTAAAATAAACTCAGCTGTCCCTTGATTTCAGCAGAACTCCTGAACTGCTGTTTAGATGCCATGTAAATCTTTTTTTTTCTATTTTGTGAAATGAGGATATCACTAATCACAAAGTAGTATTTATTCAATGAGAATCTTTTCTGGATTTTTAAATATCTGGATATTCAAGATGCTTGGAGAATAAAAAATAAAAAATAAAAATGTAACAATTGATAACAAAAACCAACTAGGCAATGTAATCAAATGCTCAACTTATGATAGGTGGGAAAATATGTAAAATAGAATCTGGAAAATAATTATTTTGAAGAAGAAAAAAAGTAGGGACCTTGCAGGCTAAATATGTGTATATTTTTGTACATGCAGCTGATGTTTATCCAATATTGGTTTTTTACTTGGAAAGCTTAAACTTGTAACATTTTTTAGAATGTAACTAAAGGGTTCCATAAATTAATAACATGTCATAGACTGTTTTGAAGTGTGTGTGTGTGTGCGCGTGTGTATATATATATATATATATATATATATATATATATATATATATATATATATATATATATATATATGTTTGATTTTATATCTGTATTTGAAGAAATACAAAAAATAAACGATGAGAGGGAGAAATCTGACTTATGCAAATAAAATTCTAAATATACCACAAATCGTGGTATATCGTGCCTATGTGACTTTATAGAAATTCAAAAATCCCTAAGGAGTCAGTATTTATATTTGATAAGAAATTAAGAATTTTGGGAAAAAGATTTAGATAATCTGCTGAAAGATCCATGTTTTGAACATGCAATTTTGATTAACACTTTTTGGTAAGTGCTTCCGAAGTTTTATTTAAAATAAAATAAACAACTAAAAGAAAAATAACCATGTTTTTTTATGTAAACGATGCACTCCTGGTAATTTATTTTTAGGTTTCATTTTCTCCTCAACTCCCTGCACAGAACGGACCCTTACCTCTGAAGTACCGGGTCCGACCCAACTGTAAGAAAATGAAGGTGAGCCACCCCCAGCAGGAGGGTCAGAACAATGCCAGCAGGTCCGGTCCGGAGAGCGACTCTGCCAGCGACAAAGCAGGGAGTCCCGTCGGGGCTCCCTCCACCTCCTCGTCCCTGCCAAGCCCCGGAACCCCCGCGCAGTCCCCGCACCCTCAGCTCCCTCACGGCCCGGGCAACAATAGCAGCAGCACCGTGAACGGAAGTTCAGCTGCTGTCTCAGCCGCGGCAGGAGCTCAGAACCCGAGCCGGTCCTTCAGCCAGTTCAGCGGCGGCAGCGGGGGCGGCAGCGGCGGCAAGCCGCGGAAGGTGTCCTTGAACGGCTCGGCGACTTCGTCCGGATGACGCGGGGCTCCGGAGCCGACCTGCCAACGCCAGACTCCCGCTCAGCTCCTACATTTTCCATGCCAACGTAGTCCCACTGTGTAGACAATGTTCTCTCTCTTTCTGTCTCCATTCGTCGTTCTAAATATTATGGCATCATTTGTAAGTTTAAACGTAGTGGAATCAGAGACATTTCAAGATAAAAAAAAGGATGAGATGGGAAATTTAGAATGGAAGGAAAATGTTGGAAGGGGAGGAGGGAAAGAAGAAGAAAGTTGGATAACATGTCTCTCCCCTTTAAAAGCTACATCTTTATTTTACAGGAGTGACTGAAGGTGACACTTAGATTTTGTTTTATGTCTCTTCAAATTAAAGGTGTTTCTCATGATTAATTCATGTGTGTTGGGATACTTTGAAGCACAGTTTAATGCGCATGCTCATTGTGACTTTTCTGTTCAGGAAGAGGCTTCAGGGTTCGGGCATGTCCGTCCCTTTTCTAGAGTTTTTGGACATCAGGAGTTTCTGAAGCGGGAAGCATCAATGGGAGAAAAATAAAAGCATTTCTGCCTTTTACTGGAAAACAAAAGAAAAGACACCCTTCCTTGTAGCTGGACTCTTCATCCTTCACATCTTTTAAAGGTTTCCGCGTGTAAATAGAGACAAAGTGCATATTTAATCAGCCATGGTGTTATTCTCTAACTGCCCTTTGTTCTAAAGGAAGGACTTGGCTTCATTTCATGACAGATGTTTTCATGTCTCTGTTTTCTGTATTTGTATCGCTCAATTGTATGAACAACTTACCGTATTGTTACTGTTGCACAGTATAAAACATCTAAATAAAAACATTTTACACTTATGCAGAAAACGCACGCCTTTATTCTGTTTTTCTCCTTAGACATGCATTTGCACGGCAGACAAAAATAAATAAATAAATACATAAAATAATACAATAGAATCGAAATACGAAAATGATTAATACAGGTACGCAGCAGGTTCGGTTCTTTCAAACCGAACCTGCGGTTCCAATACGTCACCGCGGAACGTATTGGGTTTTATTTTTGGCTTATGAAGTAGCTCCTCACTCTCTGGAGGAGTTAAAAGTGAACAAGCTTTTAGCTCGACTTTTCAAATGAAATAATCATGTTTATTAATGCAAAAGAAACAATACACATGTAAACAGTGACGTATAAAAATGTTGAGTAATTGTACTCAAATTTGCATAAACATTAGCTCATATGTTGCAGAGATCTTTGGCTTCCCGCCTCTGAAGTCTTTCTGTCATGATTCTCGCCCGTCTGCCTGCTCTTGTTTTCCTCCACAGCTCTCACCTCCCCAATCATGCCCATGATATCGCGCTGCAGTGCAATCAGGTTCAGCTGTTCACCAGCAGTTATATTCAGCACTCAGGCAGGCAGACGGTGCCAGATTTTTGTAGGCCTTTGGTGTGAGGTTATTTTTTATTTTATTTTATTTTATTTATATAGCACATTTTCAGCAACAGGGGAATACAAAGTGTTTTACAGGAATTAAACGTAAATACAAACAAAATAACAAACCAAAGTTAAGAAGAAAAATAATCTACTGTTGATCTAAAGTATAAACTAGGTGCTTCTGTTCAGGGTTGCTCAGTATCCTCTGGTCTAATTGCATTTCTGGGTTGGAAGAACAGGAGTCTAAAAAGTAGTCTAATAATGTTGATCCAAAGTATATAAACTAGATACTCTTATTCAGGGTTGCTAGATAAGTTTAAGTAAGTATCCTCTGGTCTAATTCCTTTTCTGTGTTGGAAGAATAAGAATCTAAAACATATATTGCTAAGGAGGTTTTTCTGGATCCTAAGTTTGTTCTGGGTTGCTAAATTAGTATCTTGGATACTTATTCTCTCTTACTTATTTTTTTCTTATTCTGGGTTGCTGGAAAAGTATAAGTAAGTATTCTCTGGGCTTTCTAAGTGTGCTGTAAATTTGTAAAAAATAATGAGTACTCCACAGTTTATAAGTAATAATAAATAAACTAAGTCTTCCTGTCCTGGAAGATTTTATTTATTTATTGATTGATTGATTGATTGATTGATTGATTGATTGATTGATTGATTCTAAGTTCATTTCATTATTATTTTTGGGTTGCAATAATAGGAGTCTCTCTGCTTAATAATCTAAAAATTAATCCAAGAAGTAGAAAATTGGTCTAAATAGTGAGTACTCTACAGTTTCTAATAAAATAAAATAAAATAAAAAAGCTAAAGCGTGACTAATCTAATTCTTTTTCTGGGTTAAAAGTGAGTACTCCACAGTTTCTAAATAATAACTGTTAAGTAGGATGAAAAGACAACATTAGGTAGGATAAGGCACATATAGCAAGGCAAAAACATGCTGGCAAACACGTTGAGGTCAGGGACTGTGACCAGCTTGCAGTCTGTTACAGCCTGTTCTTCCAAATAAAGTCTCTGATAAAGGTGGAAATATCAAGAGCGAGTCATTGAGAGTTCAGCCATAAAATCCCACGGGTGACTTCGGGAAGGTGAAGAAATGGGAAGGAGCAGTTTGTTTATATAAATTCCAGGAGATTCTAGATAGCCAGAAGGCCACATGGGACATACTTAAAATTTCTGTCTATCCTAGAATCTTTCACCGGCATATCTCTTATATAGATCATCCACTGATTCCATCCCGCCAGTGAGCTTTTGAGTCATCGGTAGCTCGGCCAAATCCGTCACAAATTTGTCGATAAGCCTATCCATCTGCTCCAAACAACAGAAATCCTGTTATCATGAATAAATCCAGGGTGAATCTATCCAGTCGGGTGTGTCCACGTAGGACAAGAGGGCTCTCCTGTGTCCAGTCTTCTTTTTTGAGAAAATTGCATCAATTGCATTGGTAGACCAGTTAACCAGATCCATAATTTATAGATTCGGAGGATGTGCAAAGAAAGACTCCAAAAAAAGCAACACAAAAACAGAGCAAGCCGGTCGTGATCCCCACCCCGGAAATATGTATGGGGTTCCATTTGTGTCAAAAATAAGTGGGACTGGGAGTTCGTAAATGACAAATGACAAGAGTTTGCAGAACTGGCAAAGTCTCTTCTTTCCCTGGTGAGTCAGGATGGGGAGTACGGGGGAAGAGGCAACCCCAGCAAGGGTATAGTTATACAAGTTATACAAGTTATACAAGGGTATATTAAAC